TAAGCGTGCGCTTCAGTGTGCTCCTCCATGATGTCTTGCAGCCTAATGAACCACACACTTGCACCTTTTCTAGCCTGACACCTGACTTCCTCTGTTGTGCTGCTCCATGATTGGCTTCAGCCTGCTGGACTGAAATTGCCCCAGTGTGCCCCTCCCTGATATCCCGCAACCCACCACCAGGGTTCCGACACATAACACACTTTTTTCAGGAAAGTAAACCTCCAGGGGTCCTTTCCATATTTTTACAGAGACTGCATAAGGACTGTTAGAAAAGCATTACCCATTGATTATTAAGCTTGGACCAGTGGGGTCCGGTGTTCGGGCCCCACCACGTAAAACCAGTCCCCATGACGTGAGTGGAATCTCAGGTTATGGAACCCACTAGGAGTTGAAAACAAGTGCACACACACACACACACACACACACACACACACACACACACACACACACACACACACACACGCCTGGAGTTTACATCATTAACTTTCTTAAAACTAAAAATAAAAAGGCTACTCTGTTGTGAATGTTTTGAGAGCATTGTCAATCTTTAAGACGAGGAATAGCTGCTTGTTCTCGGAGAACAAGCTCCGCTCTGTTTGATATGATCATGCAGATTATTGGACAAAGTTTTCAGCCAATAAACAAAACTATATTTCGAAGCAACGTTGGAACGTGATGACGCTCAGGGGGTTACATTTTCTAAAAACCTTAGAACGCAACATTTAGGCGATTATTTGTGTATAATGATAACAATATTTAAATTATGACTTATAAATAAAAAAGGCTTATAACTTGAGAGGTGAGGAACAAATTGGAGTAGGCCAAGAAAAAAACTGGTAGGCACCGGCCTACCCAGGCCTACCCAAGCCTACCCAGGCCTACCCAGGCCTATCCCTGGCGCCGCGGCTGCTTGAAAAACTAAATGGCTTTGTCTTGTTGGAGAATCTTGTTTTAACACAGTCAGAATGTGTCAGAGAGAGGGGCGACAGTAGCTCAGTTGGTAGAGCATTGGCCTTTGAGCCTGAAGGTTGTGGGTTTGAGCCCACCTCAAGATCTTCTTCATGACGCCTGAAGCCCTCACTGAAAGATCTCAGCTCCTGTGGGCTCACCTAATGCAGGAGGATCAGTGAGGGGCTGGTGCTCTGTGAACTGGGCCGACCCAGAAACGGATTAAGGGGAAGAAAATGGATGGATGGTGAATGTGTCGGATTAAGATAAAAAACACTTGATTCAAGCAACTTTTACCTAAAATTGCATAACTTTTTGCAATGTACACACCGCTACACTAACACACACACAGACAGAAACAAACACACACACACACAAACACACACACACAGGTGATGCCTACAACTTCATTTATATCCATGTGGCTACAATAGTTTGAGCATTTTTTGACTTATTTTGAACACTTTTTGCAGTGAAGGTCAGACACTTGTTTGTTTTGTTCTGTGCATCGTGGGCCGGTGACATTTCTTGGAACAGCGGTTATTTGTAAATCTGGGCCTGTGCAGATTTATTTATCAACAATATCTGCTGCATCTGTACGAGGCTCTGACACTCGCCGGGGTCAGGTGCCGGGTTCAGGTGCCGGGTCAGGTGCCGGGGTCACAGTTTATGGACGGCCCTTTGGAGCCATTAATCCAAGCACAGATTATTGGAGCTGGGACTACACAGATATTATATGTGCTTCTTGTGCAGTTATGGGATAATCTACTGATCACTGCTGTGTGTGTGTGTGTGTGTGTGTGTTTACGTGCGTGCGTGTGTGTGTATGTGTATGTGTACGTGCGTGCGTGTGTGTGTATATGCGTGCATGTGTGTATGTGTGTGTAGGCCAATAGGATGTGTGCTGGTTAAACAGGTGAAATTAAATGCATCTTTGATAGTAGGATTCCTGTGTATCTCTGTAAATTGTATTTGTTCTTTACTGTATCTTCTATCCTGCTGGTTCCTGTTTTTATGTGTGAAACACATAAATGTGAAGTCTGAGTCCAGTATTACCACTAGATTTCTGACCTTGTTTGCAGGTTTAGCTGAAGGAAATTATTTAGCATCCACTCACTGATCTGTTGGATACAGTGAAGGAGTGAGTCCACTGGTCCATGTTCTCCTGCAGTCAGTGAGACATAGATCTGAGTGTCGTCTGCATAGTTGTGATAGGACACTTTGTTTCTGCGTATTAACTGACCTAACGGCAGCATGTAGAGATTGAACAGAAGAGGTCCCAGGATCGACCCCTGTGGTACTCCACAGGTCAGGGCCATATGGTCTGCGACACAGTTTCCAATCTCCACAAAGTACTTCCTGCCTTCAAGGTAAGACTGAAATCAACTTAAGCCATGTTTCCACCGCAGGAGTTCGTGGTAAAAGGAGCGGGGTGGAACTTCTACTGGAACCTTCCTCTCCCTCGATCCTCTCAGTGTCTGTGTCTCCGCTGCAGTAGGACCACTCGGCAACGTCATGAGTTTCGATTGCCGCAAAAGCGAAACTCATTAAGCCAAACCTGTTATTATTATAGATCCATACGCCAAACCCATTTGTTTATTTTACGGTCGTAACAGCTCAGTTGTTGTGGTCTTTGAGTCATTTTATAGTCTTGCTTCAGTTTTTTAAAACTTTTCACGGCTTGTTTTAGAGTGATGAATCCTCAGTGCTTCGAGGTGAAACTGATGTGTCTAAATATATCTTTTCATTTCGCCGCGATGCCTCAAACCCTCAAAGCCCGTCTGGATCACGTGCTGTTGTTCGCTGTTTCCAGTGGGCTAGTGCCGGTTGTTTTGGTGCTTTCTGCTAGCGTCAGAGCCTACGCTAGCTTTAGCCAATCAGCGCCGGGGTAACCTCAAGTCCCACCAGGGCCCAACCGAGTACATACCATGGAGGAGGGACTCCGTTGGGCCCCGTAAAAGTTCCTGTAAATGGCCCTGTGGGGAAAGTTCCTGCAGTGGAGACACACAAAGACGGGGCTGGCCCTGGAAAATTACCCCGAAGTTGGAAACACGGCTTTAGGGCGGAGCCAACCTACAGCTTGAGTCCTGGATCTACAGCCTCAGTCCTGGGTCTACAAATTCAGTCCTGGATCTACAGCCTCAGTCCTGGATCTACAGCCTCAGTCCTGGATCTACAGCCTCAGTCCTGGATCTACAGCCTCAGTCCTGGATCTACAGCCTCAGTCCTGGATCTACAGCCTCAGTCCTGGGTCTACAGCCTCAGTCCTGGATCTACAGCCTCAGTCCTGGATCTACAGCCTCAGTCCTGGATCTACAGCCTCAGTCCTGGGTCTACAGCCTCAGTCCTGGGTCTACAGCCTCAGTCCTGGATCTACAGCCTCAGTCCTGGATCTACAGCCTCAGTCCTGGATCTACAGCCTCAGTCCTAGGTCTACAGCCTCAGTCCTGGGTCTACAGCCTCAGTCCTGAATCGACAACATTGTAAAGTCCTCAGAGACCGCTGTTGTTGTGATTTAGGGCTGAACAAAAATACATTGAATAGAAATGATTTTCTAACCGTGAAAAGTCTTAAGTAATAATAAAACATTCCTACAATGTGAATATGCACTTTTTAACTTTTTCTCACTTAGAAAGAATATTTCAAAAAAATCTCCACAAAAAATAATGTTCTTCCAGTCTTTTACTGAGGGACAAAAGATTCATTCATGTATATTTATGTTTGTTGATCTAACAGCAGAGAAATGCACGTTACATTTGGCATGAACAGGATCACTCAGGAGGTGCAAAAAGACAAGAAGTGTGCAAGATAAAAATTGAAAAGAAACATCTTAGGAGACACTAATTTGACACATTCTGACTGTGTTAAAACAAGATTCTCCAATGAGACAAAACCAGTCTCTTTTTGTGAACGGTTGCTTTATTTGCTCATTCCAAGGGAGACATTACTTGTATCTTTTTAAAACAAGATCATTTTGCATTTGTTGCGTTGGAAAATCAGTCAGAATGTGCTCAAATTAAGATACATTTTGCTGAATTTGAGCATTTTCCGACTTATTTTTCATCACTTGTAGCAGTGTGCAGAGCCGGACCCACACGAGCCGGGTCCATGTGAAGGCGCCTGTGGACCACTGAGCTGTAGACCGTGGTGCAGCCGGCGGCGTGGCCTCTGCTCTGAGCTGATGGAGCCATAAACCAGAGGCAGAGGTTAAACGCTGTGGATCCGCCGCAGAGACACATCTGGAGCCAAACACCAGCAGCTTCAGGCTTTTCTCATCACTTTAATGGACTCATACTTTTACATGAAATATTTATGTAAGAGTATTTATGTAGGAGTATTTATGTGGGAGTATTTATGATGGTTTGAGCGTTGTGTGTTTGCTGTGTGAGGGGTCACGAACACGCGCAGAGTCATGTAACGTGGGCTTCAAAGTCTCAGTGGAAGAATACTCGTTTGGAGAAGGAGATGCTGTCTCTGGTGATAGCACTGAAGCGTTTTTGTGTTTGGTTTGGTCACAGCGCACCTGTGTATGCTCGCCGTAACCCTTTCACTGTTGTGGGATCTATGACCTGTCCTAGTCCGCGGATGGTCAGATGGCTGGCCTGTGTTTTTTCATTTTGTGTTCACTATATTAAGGAGTAAGTGTGGCTGTGCGTGCATAGGTCCGACGCACATAAAAGACCCGCCTCCAGCCGTGGGCTCCTGCTGCCTCACTTCACTCCGAGCCCTGCACCTGAGCGCCCACAACTTTTGACATTAGTTTACTTCAGCTTTCTTTCATAATAAACTATTTGATAATTGACATTCTTTTGTTTGGTGCATCCTTGGTTATAGCCTAGAGCCGGGTTATAGCATAGAGCCAGGTTATAGCCTAGAGCCGGGTTATAGCCTAGAGCCGAAGCCTAGAGCCGGGTTATAGCCTAGAGCCGGGTTATAGCCTAGAGCCGGGTTATAGCCTAGAGCCGGGTTAAAGCCTAGAGCCGAAGCCTAGAGCCGGGTTATAGCCTAGAGCCGGGTTATAGCCTAGAGCCGGGTTATAGCCTAGAGCCGGGTTAAAGCCTAGAGCCGAAGCCTAGAGCCGGGTTATAGCCTAGTGCCGGGTTATAGCCTAGAGCCGGGTTATAGCCTAGAGCCGGGTTATAGCCTAGAGCCGGGTTATAGCCTATAGCCGGGTTATAGCCTAGAGCCGGGTTGTAGCCTAGAGCCGGGTTATAGCCTAGAGCCGGGTTATAGCCTAGAGCCGGGTTATAGCCTAGAGCCGGGTTGTAGCCTAGAGCCGGGTTATAGCATAGAGCCGGGTTATAGCATAGAGCCGTGTTATAGCCTATAGCCGGGTTATAGCCTAGAGCCGGGTTGTAGCCTAGAGCCGGGTTATAGCCTAGAGCCGGGTTATAGACTAGAGCCGGGTTATAGCCTAGAGCCGGGTTATAGGCTAGAGCCGGGTTGTAGCCTAGAGCCGGGTTATAGCCTAGAGCCGGGTTATAGCCTAGAGCCAGATTATAGCCTAGAGCCGGGTTATAGCCTAGAGCCGGGTTATAGCCTATAGCCGGGTTATAGCCTAGAGCCGGGTTATAGCCTAGAGCCGGGTTATAGCCTATAGCCGGGTTATAGCCTAGAGCCGGGTTAAAGCCTAGAGCCGGGTTAAAGCCTAGAGCCGGGTTATAGCCTAGAGCCGGGTTATAGCATAGAGCCGGGTTATAGCCTAGAGCCGGGTTATAGCATAGAGCCGGGTTATAGCCTAGAGCCGGGTTATAGCCTAGAGCCGGGTTATAGCCTAGAGCCGGGTTATAGCCTAGAGCCGGGTTATAGCCTAGAGCCGGGTTATAGCCTAGAGCCGGGTTATAGCCTAGAGCCGGGTTATAGCCTAGAGCCGGGTTATAGCCTAGAGCCAGGTTATAGCCTAGAGCCGGGTTATAGCCTAGAGCCGGGTTATAGCATAGAGCCGGGTTATAGCCTAGAGCCGGGTTATAGCCTAGAGCCAGGTTATAGCCTAGAGCCGGGTTATAGCCTAGAGCCGGGTTATAACGAGCTCCCATTTCTATTGGCTCAATAGAAATGACAGAAACACGCCAAACAGTTGCCAATTGAAATAATATATATTAACGACCGAAGTTAATATTTTAATGAGGTGTGGTAGTCTGTAGTGAGTGTGTGCGAGTGTATGTGCTGTGAGCGAATGTCTGCAGTGTATGACGCACACGCACCAATGAGCGCCGCTTCCACCTGAGAGGAGAGGCTATACGGCCCATCAGCGGCCGTAACAGTAGGAGTATGTATAGAGAAGTATTTATGTAAGAGTATGTATATAGTAAGTATGTAGGAGTATTTATGTATGAGTATGTATGTGGGAGTATTTATGTATGTATGCATATGTATGTTTATGTACTGTATGTATGTATGTGTATGTATGTGGGAGTATGTATGTATGAGTATTTATGTAGGAGTATGTATGTATGAGTATGTATGTATGTATGAGTATGTATGTATGAGTAGGTATGTATGAGTATGTACAGTATGTATGAGTATGTATGTATGAGTATGTATGTGGGAGTATGTATGTAGGAGTATGTATGTAGGAGTATGTATGTGGGAGTATGTATGTGGGAGTATGTATGCAGAAGTATGTATGTATGAGTATGTATGTGGGAGTATGTATGTATGAGTATGTATGTAGGAGTGTGTATGTACAGTAGGAGTATGTATGTAGAAGTGTGTATGTACAGTAGGAGTATGTATGTGGGAATATGTATGTAGGAGTATGTATGTATGAGTATGTATGTAGGAGTACGTATGTGGGAGTATGTATGTATGCGTATGTATGTTTATGTACTGTATGTATGAGTATGTATGTATGAGTATTTATGTAGGAGTATGTATGTAGGAGTGTGTATGTACAGTAGGAGTATGTATGTGGGAGTATATATGTAGGAGTATGTATGTGGGAGTGTATATGTACAGTAGGAGTATGTATGTATGAGTATTTATGTAGGAGTATGTATGTAGGAGTATGTATGTGGGAGTATGTATGTATGCGTATGTATGTTTATGTACTGTATTTGGGAGTATGTATGTATGTATGAGTATGTATGTGGGAGTATGTATGTATGAGTATGTATGTGGGAGTATGTATGTGGGAGTATTTATGTGGGAGTATGTACAGTATGTGGGAGTATGTATGTATGAGTATGTATGTATGAGTATGTATGTGGGAGTATGTATGTATGAGTATGTATGTGGGAGTATGTATGTGGGAGTATGTATGTGGGGGTATTAATGCATGGATTCACAACTAACACCATGTCTGTCTTTGTCCCGTTGGAGATTCTGGTTTTAACACAGTGAGATTGTATCAGATTAAGATAAAAAACCAATAGATTCAAGCATGTATTACTTCATATTCTATCATTTTTTGCAGTGTAGCAGCAGCGTGTCGTAGTAAACAACAGAAACATATGCAGACCAGACACATTTTTAGTTTTGTCGTTCTCTGCCGTGCTCCTCTTTCCCTGTTCACATAGAGGTGTGTGAGCCCAGAGACTGTTCAGACTCAGACCAGACACAAACAGCAGCGTACTGTGCATTTCAATGAGTGTCCCCTCTTTTACCCCGCAGCCCGGAACATGGTGTGTGTCATCCCTGCTGGAAAAACACACGTAAACACACACACACACACATACAGTGGGTGCAGCCAACACGGCAAAAGGACAAGGTAATAAGTCTGAAGAGCAGGACGACTTTAGTTTGATTAATCACCGAAAACACAGTAAACGTTTCTCCTTGAGATTTTTCATGCTAATATCGTCTTTGCCGCTGCCCTCTGCGAGAGAAACACGGTCGGTCTGAGGACGGACCAGACGCCGGCGACTACCTTTACTACAATCTGTGACTTCAATCTGTGCGTTTACAAAGTTGTAGATGTGGAGATTGTGGATTGTGTATGAATGTGTTAAGGCCTTCATACACTGGGTGAACTCGGGAGGCTTTGGAATGTGATCCAGGACTAATGTAATCCATCAAACACAACCCTGAAAGATTTTCTATTTGCATCATTCAGGTGTAAAACTAAACCCATATCTATTTAAAACATTTTTCTTTGTCTCATTGGAAAATCTTGTTTTAAGGCTCAGTCAGAATTAAGATACATTTTGCCAAATTTGAGCAACTTATGACTTATTTTTGTGGATATACCAGACTATTGCCGGACTGTAAGCCACTACTTTTAAATTCTATGAACTCTGTGGTCTATATATCGATGCGGACGATGTGTGTATTTTTACAGCCTGAGTTCTGGATCTACAGTCTGTCCGTCCGTCCGTGGGAGCAGATGGCTCTCTCAATGTGGGCCTCAACGTTTCTCACTTTTCCCACTGGGTTTCAGAGTTGTTCCGCTCTGATGCAGGAGGGTCTGAGGACAGTGGTGATCCAGGACTCTCCACATTCACCTACATTCATCGGTCTCCGTCCCTATTGGACCAATGGCTCTATGTGTTTTTATCGTTGCATTTCTGCGTTGGCGAACTCAATGGTTTTGTTAATTCATGAGATAACTTGAAGGTATCAAGAAGGATTTTCCATTAGAGGCAAAATAATCTCATATTCATCATACAAAAAGAAAAAAGAAATCTAAATAGAACAACAACTACACCAAAAAATTGAAAGACTAGAACTACTGGGAAACATACTATTACCAGAACTACTCAACACACAACAACAACTCGAGAAAATACAACAGAAAAAAAACAATTTCATCATCCAACAACTGAATTATGAACTTATAGAAGCAAATAACATCTCACCAAAATACTTAGCCAACTTACTGAAAAGAAAAAAAGACAAATCAACTATTCAAGCAATACAAACCACAACAAAACAAATCACTCACGACCCTCAGGAAATCAATGACACATTTCAACAATTCTACAAAACACTCTACACCTCCACGACAAATACCAACCCTGCAGAAATCAACTCTTTTTTTAAGCACCTAAAGTTGCCACATCTCCCCACAGAAATAGCCCAAATGCTAGATGCCCCACTATCCTCAACTGACCTTCATAAAGCCCTCACTAATATGCCAAACAACAAATGCCCCGGACCAGATGGCTTCCCACCCGAATTCTATAAACATTTCTGGAACCTACTGTCACCACTTTTCATCCGCACTGTACACGAAATAAAAAACTCCTCATACATCCCACCACACATGAACACAGCCAGCATAATAATCTTTCTAAAGCCAAATAAGGACCCCACCCAACCCACCAGCTACAGACCCCTCTCATTACTCAATACTGATCTAAAAATTATCACTAAAGCTCTAGCCCACAGATTAGAACAAGTCACTCCGCTTCTCATCCATCCAGACCAAAAAGGCTTCATAAAAAACAGAAACTCCTCAGACAATCTCCGCAGACTATTCAACCTCATTAACCTCTCACAACACTCAAATACAGACACCGTCATAACATCACTAGATGCAGAAAAAGCCTTCGATAAAGTTAACTGGACATTTCTGATTCACACACTACACCAATTCGGCTTCGGGGAGTCATTTATTTCATGGATTAAAATACTTTATACTTCACCCAGGGCCACAGTCACAACCAACAGTATCACATCCCCCACATTCACACTGCACCGGGGAACACGACAAGGATGCCCACTCTCTCCCTCACTCTTCGCATTATTCTTAGAACCACTAGCAACTGCCATACGCCAATCCAACAGCATCAATGGAATACGCACCCTTAATATACACCATAAAATAAGCCTTTATGCCGATGACATCCTCCTATACCTCCAAAACCCCACAGAATCATTACATGAAGCATTCAAAATAATAAACTCTTTTTCAGCCATATCAGACTACACAATAAACTGGAATAAATCTACAATACTTCCCTTGACAGATGGCGCTTGGAACTCTTCAGCTCAGGATCTCTTCCCTGGGATTCACACGGGCAACATTAAATATCTGGGCATCCACATTTCCCCCAGGTTGTCAGAGTTGTTCCCACTAAACTACACCCCGGTTTTTGACCAAATAAAAGATGATCTAGACAGATGGACAAACCTCCCACTCACTCTCATCGGCCGCATCTCTGCAATAAAAATGAAGATCCTTCCAAAACTCAACTACCTATTCTCTAACATACCCGTCACACCCACAGATAAATGGTTCAAATCACTCGACTCACTCATATGAAAATTTTACTGGAAACACAAAAAAGCCAAAATCAAACTTTCAACATTACAACAGCCCAAATCACAGGGCGGCCTTAACGCACCCAACTTCACACACTACTTCCTTGCAAACCAATTACAATACCTAGCAACATGGATAAAGCCTACACACAATAACTCCTGGACAGATATCGAACAATCTATATTACATAACATCCAACTGACAGACTTACCAGCAATGAACACTGCACTCAAAAAACATACCTCTTTTAAATACATAACTATCTCAACAACTCTGACAACCTGGTGGAAAGCTTTAAAACTAACTAACTCATCACCTACACCCTGCAAATACACTCCTCTCTGGCACAACCCTGACTTTAACACAAAATAACACACCACTGCACTACAACACATGGGAACAAAAAGGAATCACCCACCTCGGACATCTATTCAACAACAACACATTTATGACATATAAACAACTAACAGACAAATTCAATCTCAACCAAAACTCCACATTTCAATATTTCCAAATCAAATCCATAATCAAAGGCAAGATTAACATACAGCACAACCCCTTAACTGCACCCCAACTCATTGAAAATATAAAAAACATTAAAACTATGAAAAAATTAATATCCCAACTACACAACTTCTTGAATACAGACCAAACAATACACACCCCAAAAGAAAAATGGAACCTGGACATTAATTCACCCATCACACCCGAATTCTGGACAGAAATATGCACCAACACCTTCTCCATGACACCAAACACCAATTTACAAATGATACAATACAGGATTATTCACAGAACATATATAACTGAACACAAAAAGCATAAAATGGG